GTCGGCCGCGGGCGCCGGGCCGGGGGCGCAGGACGCGGCCGCCTCGACGGCCGACTTCCCGTTCCAGATCCACAACAGCTCGGGCTGGATCACGGTGCGCGCGGAGCTGGACCGCGAGGCGGTGGAGCGCTACAGCTTCGGCGTGGAGGCGGTGGACCACGGCTCGCCGCCCATGAGCTCGTCGGCCAGCGTGTCCATCACGGTGCTGGACGTCAACGACAACGACCCGGTGTTCACGCAGCCCACCTACGAGCTGCGGCTCAACGAGGACGCGGCGGTGGGCAGCAGCGTGCTGACCCTGCGCGCGCGGGACCGCGACGCCAACAGCGTGATCACCTACCAGCTGACGGGCGGCAACACGCGCAACCGCTTCGCGCTCAGCAGCCAGAGCGGCGGCGGCCTGGTCACCCTGGCGCTGCCCCTGGACTACCAGCAGGAGCGTCAGTACGTGCTGGCGGTGACCGCGTCGGACGGCACGCGCTCGCACACGGCGCAGGTCTTCATCAACGTCACGGACGCCAACACCCACCGGCCGGTCTTCCAGAGCTCCCACTACACCGTGAGCGTCAGCGAGGACCGGCCCGTGGGCACCTCCGTGGCCACCATCAGCGCGGCCGACGAAGACACGGGCGAGAACGCGCGCATCACCTACGTGCTGGAGGACCCGGTGCCGCAGTTCCGCATCGACCCCGACAGCGGCACCGTCTACACCACCACCGAGCTGGACTACGAGGACCAGGCCGCCTACACGCTGGCCATCACCGCCCGGGACAACGGCATCCCTCGCAAGTCCGACACCACGTCCCTGGAGATCCTCATCCTCGACGCCAACGACAATGCGCCCCGCTTCCTGCGGGATTTCTACCAGGGCTCCGTCTTCGAGGATGCCCCGCCGTCCACCAGCGTCCTGCAGGTCTCCGCCACCGATCGGGACTCGGGCCCCAATGGCCGGCTGCTCTACACCTTCCAGGGCGGGGACGACGGCCACGGCGACTTCTACATCGAGCCCACGTCCGGCGTGATCCGCACCCAGCGCCGGCTGGACCGAGAGAACGTGGCCGTGTACAACCTTCGCGTCCTGGCCGTGGACCGGGGCAGGCCAGCGCCCCTTAGCGCCTCCGTGGACATCCAGGTGACCGTCTTGGACATTAATGACAACCCCCCCGTGTTCGAGAGGGACGAGCTGGAGCTGTTCGTGGAGGAAAACAGCCCCGTGGGGTCCGTGGTGGCGAGGATTCGTGCCAATGACCCCGACGAGGGCCCCAACGCCCAGATCATGTATCAGATCGTGGAGGGCAACGTGCCCGAGGTCTTCCAGCTGGACCTGCTGAGCGGCGACCTGCGGGCCCTGGTGGAGCTGGACTTTGAGGTCCGGAGGGAGTACGTGCTGGTGGTGCAGGCCACCTCGGCGCCCCTGGTGAGCCGGGCCACCGTGCACGTCCGCCTGCTGGACCAGAACGACAACCCGCCCCTGCTGCCCGACTTCCAGATCCTCTTCAACAACTACGTCACCAATAAGTCCAACAGCTTCCCCACCGGCGTGATCGGCCGCATCCCAGCGCACGACCCCGACGTCTCCGACAGCCTCAACTACACCTTCCTGCAGGGCAACGAGCTGCGGCTGCTGCTCTTGGACTCGGCCACCGGGGAGCTGCAGCTCAGCCGCGACCTGGACAATAACCGCCCGCTGGAGGCGCTCATGGAGGTGTCTGTTTCTGGTGAGTGGCCCTTGGGGCTCCTGCTGGGCCACCTGGGGAGCTGTGGGGACCTGCCAGGGGCCTGCCCAGCGTGCCGGGGCGCATTCGGGCAGGGCCCAGGCAACACTTTGGGGATTTGTGGCCTCCGGTTGGATGGTCGGAAGCCGCAAGCTGGAAGGCGGGAGGTGCTCCCCACCCCGCCGAGGGAGTGGGAGGGACGCGAGCACCGCTTCCCTCAGCGTTTTTGGCTGGGAGCAGGCCTGGGCTTCTTCAAGTTCAAGACCAGGGCTTCCTGGCTCTTTCCCCAGCTGGCTGATGAGGCTCCTGGGTTGTGCATTTAAAACCTGGTCTCGGGGGTTATCTGCGTCATCTGGTTCACTTGGGACGCTTTGCAGTCAGCCGCACACCTGTCTGGAAAGATCAAAGGTCACTGCCCATCACATGTGCCAATTAGTTCCCGGGCGGGACCGTTGGAAATTGCCGGATGGGTCCCTGAGTCACCCTGTAATGCGGCTGGAGTCAGTTCCCTCGGTGTCTCTTTTCTGTCTCCTCCAGATAATAACAGTCGGCTGCGTGTGCTCTCTGTGGGAGCCCTTTGAAAAGCAGAGCCCGTTTGATCTTGGCTGCAGGCTTCTCGCTTGGGTGTTACTTAGAGGCCTGCCCAGGTCGCCGGTGGAGCCAGTGTGGGAACCCAGCTGCCTGCTCTGGGGCTGGAGGTGGGCAGAAGAGAGAGGACTCTCTGCCCAGCCAGCCCAGTGCTTGGCAGCAAAGCGCTGGCCCCCATGTGCCCGGCATGGCCTGCGGGGCTGGGGAGAGGGAGGGAGACCAGGCTGGGTGTGGGATTGGAGACACACGGAAGAAGGAGGGATCTGGCGGGGCGCAGGGAACAATAAAGGGACCCCCAGCAGCTCCTCGAGGTGCCCACCTGTGGATGTGACCCGTTGGTGTGGGCAGGTGACCTTAATTATCACCAAGAAAGGCTCGGGTCGGTGGGTCAAGTCAACGTTTCAGATCAGTCGTTCCAACAATAAATTATTAGGATAAGCTATCACCGTGGGAGCCCTGGGAGCATGAAAAAGTTTATTTTCTGTCCAGTTTTGTTTCCACGGTCGACTGTAATTCTTTATACGCTAAGGGAGGGCAAAGCAGACAGGTCCTGGTGGTTTGCTTGTAAGAAGATCTGGACCGCGCGGTCCCGTTCTGAAGTGACGCGATGCCTCGGTGCCCACTTGGGCAGTCGAGTCTGTCTCCAGGTGACTGTTTCAGGTTTTGTGAGGTTGTGTGTGTGCAGAGCCCCTCAGGGAGAACTGCCAACCAGGGTTCGGGCTGCTCCAAGCGGTGACATAATTTTTTTGGAAAGTCTCTTTCCTGAATTCCATTTGCCTTTCTCGCTTCTTTATCTGCTGGATAAAGCCAAGAGGGGACCGCAGCCCTACAAACAGGACTTGGCAGCGTCCTCGGGGCTGATTCTACGGGGCGCGGTGCTTCATGGGAGCGGGCGCGCTGGCATCAGCCAGGCTTTGCGTCTGTCTGGGGCGTCAGGAATGTGAGCCCCCCGTGTTGGCCGGATAACAGGGTTTAGGGCGGATTTCATTCAAAAGGGGTTAGTTCCTGAGGGCCGCCTGGCCTGCGTGGCGGGCCCCCAGCCTCGACCACAGTCGGAGGTGGCTTGGGGTAATTGTCCCAGGGATCTGGGCTCTGAATTGTAGTGACACACCCTTGCTGAATCAGGCACCGGGGGCTCACGTGTTGACTCCCCCAGGTAATAACGAGGACCTTTTACTGGGTGTCACGCAGTTTTCTATAACCTGTACTTACACTGTCGCTGAATCTTCTGGTGGCTGGGGGGGTGAGTTGTGTTTGGCTGCTGCCCATTTTACAGATAAAGAAACTGAGGCTCAGAGGTGTCAGCATCCTCAGGGCTACACAGGAGTCCAGGTGTCCAACCATGATCCAGACAAAACAAGCCCCCCTCCCCCCCCCCGCAGCCCCCTCGCTTACCTGGGACAGAGTTTTTGAGAAATGACTTGCTACGTGAATTGTGTCCATGGCGAATACTTCCTTGCTCCGGTTTAAAGTAGGCACCTTTGGGTGCCGTGTAGTAACCCTCAGACTACTTGACTCCGATTTCATGCCCCGAAGTAGCGAGTCGCTACAAACTATAAAATGTGTGATTCCCAGCAGCAGAGCCCTGTGTGGAAAGAAAACAAAGGGCAGAGGTCAGCCCCTGAATTAACCGGAGTCGAGGCTTGGGTTTTATTGGGGACGGCGGGGAGAGCTGTTGTTTAAAACTCATACACTGTTTTCAGCGAAGTGCTGTTGGCTCCTGTTTTACAGCCATGCCCGAAGCCTGGTCCTGCTGCCCTGGAGGTGCCAAGGGAACAGCCTGGATTAGGTTTTGTGGGCTCCAGGCCAGGAAGGGCGGAGAGCCTCCCGCCCTGCTGGGAAGGTGCCCTGGGGTGGGGGT